AAAGATATATATGAAGAAAAGGATGAGGATGAAGATCGATATTGTTATCGATATAAAACTCGATATTTTTATCGATATTGCTATCGATAAAATAATCTATGTTGTTATCGATACTGTTATTGATCAAATAACCGCTATTGTAATCGATGTAATAATCAATATAAAAATCGATATTGTTATCGATACAATAATGGATATTGTTATCGGTATAATAATCGATTAAATAATTTATTTTGTTATCGATTTAGTAATTTATGTTGTTATCGATATGTACAATAATCGATACTGATGATTGTTATATTTTATCGATGAATTAATCGATTTTGCAATCGTTGTATTTTTCTATATGTTTATGGATATTGTTATCGGTATTTTTATCGACACAGTTATCAACAGGGTTATCGATGTAATAATCGAAACATGGAATGTGAACACATTACATGACATCACATCACAATATATAACATGATATGAAGAGACATCATATGATATTACATCACATAATATGATATCACATCACACGATATCACGTGACATGACGTCATATGATATGACATCACATTATATGGCATGACATCACATGACTTGACATCACATGATATGACATCGTATGACATGACATGGCATTACATGACGTGGCATCACATGATATGACATCATATGGTATGACATCTTATGGTATGACATCATATGACATGACATCAGAGGATATGACAACACATGACATGACATCCTATCACATCACATAAAATCACGTCACATCTTATTACGTCATCGCACCTCGTGAATAGAAAAAGAAAAGGATATAAGAAAAGATGTGAAAGATAAAAACAAAGATGAAGACCAAGGTAAATTTACCGATTTGAAAACCAAACAAACCGTTGGAAAGGTAATTTTCTGTAGATGAGGAGAGAATTATAGTTTCGAAAGTGGTTGAAAATCGTCGTTTAAAAATTTCCATATTTGTGTATGGTTGTTTTTGCAACCTGTTCAATTTAAGCTGTTTCGCATTTTGTTTTACTTCGTATTTGAAATTAAACTTTGAAATAAAGATAAATATGAAGATGAAGAAACAAGTGATAACGATGAAGACAAAAAAAAGGCAAAAGTGAAGATAAAGACGGCTGAGATAAAGGCGAAAATGGAGACAATGAGAAACACATAAGAATTAGGTTAACAGAGTTGAAATTTTCCGATAGGAATCGAAATAAAATCAGCCATAAAGGTTGCTGAAATTTATCGAATAATCGAAGTTTATAATTATCGAAATTTATCCATGCTTATTAAGTTATCGCAACGTATCGAATTATTCGAACTGATCAATGTTTACTGAGTTGTCGAAATTTATAGACACAGAAGCTTAGTTGTCCAAATCTCGGATAGTTATCGAGCTATACAAATTTGTGAAATTAACGAAATTTGTCAAGTTAAAGAAATGTATCAAGTTATCGATATTTATTTAATTATCATTATTTATAGACTTAACGAAATTTATCGAGGTGTCGTAATGCATAGAGTTCTTTCAACTTACAGAGTTATCGATAATTATTGATCTACTGAAATTGGTTGGTTCAACGAAGCGAAGTTTATGGAATTTTCAAAATATATCGATTTATCGAAATTTCAAGGTAATATAAGCTTATCGATTTATCACTGCTTATCGAATTTAATCGTCTTAACAGAGTGTAACGAGTTATCAAAATGTTTAGATAGTTTTCGAAAAATGTGGAGATGTCAAAAATAAAAATTTATAAAGGTATCCAAAGTTTCTACATTTTTGAGTTATCGAAATTTATCGAGCCATCGAATTTCACAGTTAACGAATTTTGTTGAGCTATCGAATTTTAGTGTTCTTGATATTCATCGAACTATCGATATGTATCAAATCATTGAAATTTATTGATAAACTTGAATGTATCGGGACAATTCCAAGTCCTGCCGAAGTCCTCCAAAGACCTTCTCAGATAAAAAAAAAAAATTAGTTACGTTTTAGCAGAAGATTTTCCGGTTAGTTTTTTGTACCGTACAAGTTTTGCTACGTGTTAAGTTAGAAAACCTC